TAGGGGAGGTAAAGTTTATCTGGGGCTCACAGTTTCAGAGGACTTCGTCCATAGACGGCTGACGGTTACTCTGGGCCAACATGGGAAACAGAACACTATGGCAGAGGTGTAAAGGAAGAAAACAGCTCAGGACAAGGCCACCAGGAGACAGAGAGGGCTTATCTCAGGGAGGATAAAATATAAGGCCCCTGTGACCCACGTCCTCCAGCCACATCATATACTTGCCTACAGTTACCACCCAGTTAATCCATTCAAGTGGATTAACACTCTGATTAGATTAAGGCTCTCACAGCCCAATTGTTTGACCTCTGAACATTCTTGTCTCCTACATGAGCTTTTGGGGACACTTCACAGCTAATCATAACAACAACTTTTCTAGATTCTGCATATGAACGAGAGCATGCAGCGCTTGTCTTTCTGTGCCTGGCTGATTTCACATAACATAATGGTTTGTCTTCGTTGCCAAGAATGGCAGATTTCCTTCTTTTTATGGCTGCATAGTATCCCATTGTGTTTATGTGCCTCATTTTCATTATTCACTCATCAGTTGATGGACATTTAGGTTGTTTCTATGTCTTGGCTGTTGTAAACACTGCTTCAATGAACATGGAGCCCAGATGTCTCTTCAACATACTGATTTCATTTCCTTTGGATCTTTATAGATCCAGGAGTGAGACTGCTGGATTACACGGTAGTTCCGTTTCCAACTTTTTGAGAAACCTCAACACTGTTTTCCATGATGGCTGTACTAATTTACATTCTCACCAACAGTGCATAAGAGTTCTCCTTTCTCCACATCCCTGTCAGCATTTGTTATTTTTGTCTTTTTAGTGAGAAGGATAAAGCAATAGCTCATTGTGGTTTGGATTTGCATTTCCCTGATTATTAATGATGTTGAGCATTATTTTTTTTTTCATATATCTGTTGGCCATTTGAACATCTTCTTTTGAGAAATGTCTATTCAGGGTTTTGCCCGTGGTTTTAGTTCAGAACTCATTTTTCCTTCCTTTTTTAAAATATATATTCTGAATATTAACCCTTTGTCAGATGCATTGTTTGGAAAATTTTTCTCCAGTTCTATATCTTGTATCTTCACTGTATTGATTGATTCCTTTGCTGTACAGAAAATTTCAGTTGGTGTCCTTATATGGAGTAGGGGTCTGGGAGTGTCCAGACACAGGGAAAGACAGACTATCAGGTGAAGACAAAGAGATAGAGATGATGCGTTTACAAGCCAGGAAAGGTCAAAGATGTTCAGGAAGTCCCCAGAAGCTAGGGGAGAGAGAAACCTGGAACAGATTCCTCTTCAAAGCCCTCAGAAGAAACCAACTCTGCTGACACCTTGGTCTCAGAATTGCATCCTGCATAACAGGGAGGCAATAAGTTTCTATTGTTGAAGCCACTCGGTTTTTGGTACTGTAGTACAGCAGCCCTAGCAAAGTAATACACCTCCAGAGATGGTTCTTCTTGATGATATCCAGGAGGACATCTCTATCTAGACAGAAGGGGGCACTGCGGCCCCACAGAAAGGGTGGGAGACACTTGAAACTCAGAAGGCTTCTCCACAGACCACCTGTTCAGCAAGGCTGTCTACCCTCTACTGTCCTGAAAGAACAATTTGCCATTGACAGCATCCCCTACTCAAGGGCCCTAAATTCTTAGAGGCTTCACTTATTGTCTATAACTTTGTATGTTTGGGTGCTTCCTTGATATTTTCCATATTGTCCTTGTTTTGTTTTCCCAACTTGATTGCAAACTGTTTGAGGACTGGGCCATGTTACAAACCTAACCAAGAGTTGGGTGATCTCTCTGTTAAAAATTCTGAGTGAGCCTTTGGACACGTCACCTCTCCTTTCTGGGCCTAGTCTTTGACTACATAAAAGAATTGTAATCTCTAAGCTCCCTCAGTTGCAATATTCTGTGATTCTGACTCCATGCATGTTTGCTGTTTAACCAACTTTCCTACTTAGTGTGCAAAAGGGAAGGAGAGGCCTAACTCATCTCTTAGATATGCTAAACAACTGATCATCTGGGGTACAAGTAATTGAATAAAGGAAGTAAGTTCCAAAGGCTTGAGAGCCAATATGGTACTCCAGGAGCTCCAAGCTCCTTCCTAGGGTCCAAAGCTCTGGTCTTGGCATCTACTGAAGCTTTCTCCTCTTCTGATTAAGGCACATGGATGTCTCTAAATTCTACTTTGGGTGTGCTCATGGCAGCGAGGCCTATGTGTACCTTTTAGAAGCCTCCTGACTCTGCTTTAGGAATTGGAGCGACGGTCTTTCCAAATGGACATAATATTTTGAGTGAACCACTTTTTTTTCTTGGAGAAACCTCAGCATGGCTCAGCCTTCACTTGGACCTAGTCAAAGAATATTTAAGGGTTCTCCAAATGCCAACACCCTAGAGGCCTGGGCTCCAGTTAAAATTATGCTCTTTGGATTACAGAAAATAGGGGCTCACACAGACCAGTACAGTAACAGGGGTGAGAGAGCATGGAAGCTAGGATCTCAATATAAAATAGTTGTAAAAGAGGTGAAATCTCCTAGGAAGATAAGACCAGAAACCCCAAACAATGACAAGCTGATACTAGAGGGTCCCCTCAGTTCTAGGGACATACTCTAGTACTCCTCTATTAATATCACCCAGCTACTCCCCAGGGGTCAGCCCCCCTCTCTGCTTGTCTTTCCATTCCTCTTAAGTGTTTTCCAAAGAATGCCTCTGGTAGAACATGAGACAATTTTTACTAATTACTAATCTAAGTGATGCAAAGAAGGAAATAGAAAACCAGATTCTAGAGAAAACAACTCATTTCTCCCAAGCAGCCTAAGGCCTCGTGATTGAACTTCACTGGCTGAAGTTCTACTGACAGCTAGTTGTGCGAACTCAGACTAACTGGACACTTTTCGTTGTGTAACCTTAGGCAAGTCACTACTTCCATTTCCTCTTTTCCAAAATAGAATATTTGCTTTCACTTTTTCTTTAGGTTGAGGTATGGAGCCTATTCCACTCTCAATCCAGTCGCTGGACAGCAGTACACAAGTCTCTTTGCCTTTTGTGACTCAGTCCCTTCTCGGATCAGAGGAGACATTTAACTAGAGGATTCTTTCCATCCTACTTCTTCCAATTCCTAAATAGCTCTGCCTAAATCTAACCACCCACCTCTTTGGGTCCTTCCCCAACGTACTCCTCCTTCCGATGTCCTCAAAATCCTTTCTTCTAAAATCCCCACGAAGCAGAGAAGAACATCCTGGGGACTTAATTTATGAAATTTTGTGAAAACTTGCATTCATGCCATGATTTTGTAATAAAATTCTATGTTCCCTTTGTCCTGGCTTATCTGTTGAGAGATTTCTTTTTATTTACTATTGATCATCAGTTGGCTCCAGTCACTTAACCTTTGATCATCCCTTTTATTGGGACACCACCCAGCCTCTGCCCTGGCCCTTCATTCTCCTATTAAATAGTAATGCTACATAAACAGACTTGGAGATGAGCTCGTGGAGCAAGGGGACCCTGAGGCCAGTCTCCCTTAGGCCTGTGAATTGTCATTCCTGAAGCTGTCTGTTTTCTAAGTTCTTCTGCCAAGTTTCTAAGGGAGCAGAGGGATCATTTTCTCCCTTTTCAAAGAGCAGGGTGAGTTGAGGCCTCCAGCTGGCAAGTCCTTTAAAGTAATTTTCAAAGGAAACCTGAGCTGAAAGGCCATGTGGTTGGCAGAGGGTGGTGTGACTTTCTGAAGCTCTCTCTGGGGCTTTGGGTGGTCAGCTCCCCTAGGCATCCCAGCACGTGTTTGGAGCCTTCTGCAGAGTCACTGCCAAGGGACACCACTGTCCAATCAGGGGGCCCATGGGCCCAGCAAAGGCTCTGCCTCATATCCCCTCCCTATCACCACCCAGGAACAGGAAAAGGGGGGGTGCGGATTTTCTCCTCTGGGCCATTTACCAGAACCACACTTGTCCTTCCTGTTCTCAGGTCCTGTCAATCAAATTTGATCCTCAGGGTCTTTTGAGGTAAAATAAAACAGTGCCAAAGCATACTAGGTTGAACTTGGGCATGAGTCATGGAAGCTTAAATGGTCTAGTTAAACCAACCCCTCATTGGACAGGGTGGGAAGGAGACCCAAAGGGAAAGTGGTTGTCCCAAGTCACACAGGAGGTAGCTGTGTTCCCTCACAGGACTCTTGGGACAAAGACTACCTCTGCAGGGAGCGAGATCTGCTTGGCTACTTACTATTCATGAGTCTTCTGGGTCCACAGATGACTATCAATCACCTAGGAGACACCAAAAAGCCTTCAAATGCACTGAAGATGAGAAATTTATGAGGGCAGAAGTCTAGGACCTGTCCCATTTATCCACATGGACAGAAATTGTTTATGAAGCCAAAAGGCAAGATGAGTCTTCACGCTTTACAGAATGGGCAATCCAAGGTCCAGAGGACGAAGATGTTTGTATTAGAAGAGTGAGAACTGAAGTCATTAGAAAGCTCAGCTTAGAGCTTTCCCCCGCTTGAACCAGGTGTAGTCATGCACTACTATAATCCCAGTTACTCAGGAGGCCGAGGAAGAAGCATTGCTCGTTTGAGGCCAGCCTCAACAACTTAGACAAAAGGACTCAGGATAAAAGGACTGGGGATGTAGCTCAGTGGGAAAGCACTTCCAAAGTTCAACTCCATAAATCCATCAACAATCAATCAACCAATTAATTAAGGTCTGAGGCTGTAGTACAGTGGTAGAGAGCACCTGGGTTCAAATACCAGTACTGCATACAAAAAAAGAAAAAAACAAACACCTATGTCTTCATGGCCAGGGGCTAGGACCAATGAGGGTCCTTGCCAACCTCCCAAGAACAAGCTCCAGCCTCCTCTTAAATGAGACTCCCTTCCAAGGCCACACAGGCCAGCAGCCCCCCACCTCAGAGAGCATTTCCCACTAGAATAAGAGCTAACTAAGCCAGATCTATCCAAATCCCCATTTCAACGTAAGGAAAAACCTTCAGAACAAGACGACTTTTCAACATTTTATTCTTATATTTGTACAGCTATATTTTACAACGCGGTAATGCAGTTTAGACACAGCCAAACCCTGTCTCCGGAGTAGTTACAACACAAGCATGACGCAGAATGGGATGAGACAAACATTCCCAAAGAGAGTTTAGTTAGTGACAACTTCAAGTCCCTGTGTCTGCCTACACTTCAAAAAGGGATGGCGCACACTCGTCCATCACTGAAAACGTCTGAAAAAAGGCACCGTGAGGACACGTTGTACAGGTATATACAGACTGAAAACTAGAACAAAGTTACACATTTTTCCTTCTGCAGCTTTTTTTGTTCTTTTTGTTTTTTTTTAATACACACTTTGTAAATTGTAAACCTTCACTTGCAAAAAAATACAAATACACGGAGGCATTTTAGACAAAATATTTTCTTACTTATACAGATGCAATACTTAAAATATTCTCTTAGGTGCTCTTTCTCAATAAAGATTCTCAGATCCGTGTCTGCCTGCAGATACAAAATCGAGCCTTTAACGCAGTTTTATATTTTTAATATATCTTTTTTAAGTTTATATATATTTATATTATATATATATATATTTATATATTTACAACTCTGCCATATATTCCTTCACCTTTGGTTAAAAAAATTAAAGCCCTCTCTTTGATAACATACCGAAGTCTTGTCTTTTAAAAGAATGCACATTTACATACAAAAGAAACATCTGTTCCCACAAAACATATACATTCCTCATTTTGCAGACTGTCAAGTCAGAACTTTTGCGTACTCCCCCACTTTGATATATAAAATGATTTTGCTTTTTGCTGACGTGGTTCGCCGTACACATAGGAGAAGCAATATTATTTTCTTAATGTTTTATGGCAGCAGGGGGGGCCAGGAGCTGCCATGGCTCCTACCCCCCAGGCCCCGACCCCACCCCCACCCCCAGCTATGATTTGCACTAGTGGATGAAAGAGGCACTACATCATGGGATGAACATCATAAAGTGTTACAGTATCCTTTGGGTAGACTCTGAGAAGGGGCTGGAGAGGAAAGCATCAACACTCCATGCTTCAGCAGGCTTTGGGGAGCTCCGGAGGCAGGTCAGTGGCCGACACGCGGTACTGCACCTTGGTGTTGGTGATGGCGCCATGCTTCTGGCGCAAGTGAAGTCGCAGCTGGCTTTTGTGACGAAAATGCAGGTTGCACTTCTCGCACTGGAGGGAGGGCAGAAGCAAACTGTTAGCTGACATCTATCTAAGTAACACATCATTGCACAAAGACCCAGACCAGGAGATTCTCCCTGCAGAGAACTGGGACAGCTCATTCCTCTGAAAGATCTGGTAAAGAACCCATATGAATATTGACTTCCACCAGAGGTAAGTAAGCATTGCACAAATGTCCCTTCCCTGCTTGCCAAAGTATCACTCACTTGTGCCCTTCCCTTGCTTGAGAAATTCTTCCCTAAGTCCATAAATGTAATTCTTACCCAAAAACACTGTTCACATGCAAACTCCCCTAATTATTAAGGCATTTCTGAATCTCTCTAGGATAAAAGAAAATCTCTTTCTTTTTCATAGCCTTGCCACAGTCACCCCGTGCATTAATATCCTCAGGAAGATAACACTATGAAAGGAAAGTGACCACTTCTTACTAAACTTGATAATTCTCCTAGCACCTAGCAGAACAAATCTCTTAGGCAAATTATACAACAAGTATAAACACATTTAGACAACCTGACTAGCTCAGTTTGAATGCATGGAAATTCTTGAGTCTAGGATATGCTTTTTAAAAATGCAGCTATCTTCCTTCCTAGGGTATATGCCATGGAAAGCTAGCAAAGCATTAGCAAGTAGAGCTGTTTTTCACTTTGGTTCAGTAAATGGGTGATGATGTTTTAGTGAGGAAAGTTCCCTGAAAGAAAAGTTGATGACAAAATGTAATGGATCCTGGAACAAAAAAAAAGGGCATTTTTAGGTTTGGGTATATATATATATATATATAAAGCAAATCCACATAGTATGGACTTTAGTTTATAATTATATAATAGTATTGATTCATTAGTTGTGACAAATATATCCAAAAAAATAAGATGTTAACAATAAAGGAAACTGAGTGCACATAAGAACCTTCTGTGTAATCTTTGGAAAATTTTATATATCTAAAACAATTTTAAAATAAAGAGTGTTATAAAATATGTTTACAGAGACTATGTTTTAAGGTAAAAATGGAAATAGAATTAAGAAAATAATAAAGTGGGCAAGACAGTGAGTAAGGAACTCTGGTTTTAGGAGACATAGGTCTACTGTGCCTATGCCACCCACTACTATGTGGCCCAAGCAGGTCATTTCTCTTTCTGGGTCTCGTCTCTCCCTCTGAAAGATTCTGGATCAATAAATAATGAAGGTCATTCTCAACTCTGATATCTTCTGCATGCAAAATTCTAATAAATACTCTCACTATGTGAGCAAGCTACCCTGAACACTTCAATGCATTAGTTAACCTAATATTACTTCTCTTTGAGGTTAGTACTACTTTCAGTCACATTTTACAGATGAAGAAATTAAGGCACTAAGAGGATAACTAACTTCTTCTTACTATTTAGCTAGTAAGAAGATATCCAAAGTCTTAGAAGCAAGTGAACAATAAATACCACATTTTGCAGGAAAACACCTGAGATGTGAGTGGATCATTCACTGATTGGTTCTCACCACCAAGTGTGATGCCATCAACTCTTGAAACCAGCCAGACAGTATGCAAACAAATTAGTGTGGCTGTGTTCCAAGACYATTGTATGTTCCCTGCAACTTCAATTGAATATTATTTGCAATGTTGCACAATATTAATCTTTTTTAYAATGTAAAAACCACTTTTAGCTCATGGCATATTCAAAAATTAGCTTACAGGCTAATAGCTTACAGGCTGCAGTTTGCCAAGACCCTGCTCTAGGACACAATTCCTATGGCCTCTTCATAGCATTGTGCCACAGAGCCAGCCATCTCCTCTTTATTCACATGGTCTTTTCTCTGCTTCAATTTGTCTTGTTTTTTACCATCATATTTTTCTGGTCCTCTTCCTACTTCTAAGACTGCATCTTTTCAAATACCTTAACTACTCTTAAATGTACTTTTAGCCTAGTATAGAGGTATGCTATAGGTGCTCAGTATTTGTAGAATGACCTCAAAATCTCTGTATTCATAATCTGGACTTCTTGAAGCTCAGATCACACAATCCAATACCCCTGCTTTAAAGAGGAACACGTTGAGACCAGGTGAAGTCAAGTAGGGTGTCTTTGACAATCAGGCCCAGACCCAGGTCTCGAAATCACTAGTTCAATGGTCACTCATTGTGTACTTGAGATTGGAGCACAGCTTTCCGCTGTCCCTCATCCCCCTCCCAGGCCAGCCGGTGGGCACCAGGGGCTTACATACATGGTAAGGTTTCTCTCCCGTGTGGATGCGCAGATGGCTCTTCAGAGTCTGAAGGTGCCGGAAACGGGTGCCACAGATTTCGCAAGGATAGGGCTTCTCGCCAGTGTGGATGAGCACGTGGGCACGGAGGTGGGCTACCTGAAAGAGGAGCACAGCATGAGAAGCTCTGCTGGGGTGGGCTTTAGAGCCTCAATGTCCTTTCTCCACACCACCCTGCTCACCTGAACAAATCTAGCTCCACAGGTTTCGCATTTGTAGGGCTTCTCTCCAGAGTGAATTCGAGTATGGGTCTTCAGATTGGCTGGCCGGTTGAACTGGGCCCCACAGATGTTACAACGATAGGGTTTCTCGCCTATTTCCAAGAGAAAGAGAAAAAGAAAAGCCATAATCAATAAAGAAGTTCTCCATTGCCCCCAGGTTTGCATGCAAACTGCCCCTATCTGAGTCCAGTTGAGTTTTTCTTTCTTTTGGGGTTGTCAGAGAATCCAGGGGCCTGGTTCCTGGCCTGCCACCCTCTCTCACACACATACCAGTACACCTTGCATGAGGCCAGAGCCCAGAGACAAGCAATGACATGGTGGATGGAAAGGAGGCTCTATGTGGGACAGCATGGGGAGGGTCCAGGAAGTCTGGGCTTCAGAACCAGTGTTGCCATTAGAATCATCTACCTGAAGGACTTGGGTAAGACACTGTCCTTCTCTGGGCCTCAGTTTCCCTCCCTGAACCTGCAGGGCTAATTGAGATGACCTGAGGAGGCTCTTCTGGCTCTTCCCTTGGATGAAACTGATGTGGTAATGCACTTACTCCCATGGAGATACTATCAGGCTGCTCTAGTTTCTCTCTTTCAGAACAAACATTTTTCYGCTCCTAGAAACTTCAGCTATACTCCAATAGCAAGAAGGGTGGGGTCTGGTTTGAGCAGAGGCTCAAATAAAAGAGACCAATTGAAGAGGCTTCCTTCATGGAGTGTCGAACATACTAGGGCCACTTGTAAGTAAACTGTGGACAACAATTCAGTTGTATGAAGTTACCTGATCAAGGAACGTGAGATGATAAGGAATGAGTCCATGGAGGACATTAWGAGGCCTTCCATTTTTTCCTGGCTTTACAAAAACCCAATTCAATATGCCTCTGTCAGCCTTAGTTTCTTTACCAGGACAGTGGGATGAACACTGCTGATCCCCAGCAAGGGCAGAGAATCAGGAAAGAGTGTCAAAGGAAAGACAAAGGGTACCGGGAGTGGGCGCATCCCCCAGGGAAAATGGACTTGGCAGGGTAGAGCCCTGGCTCAGACAGGGTGGGGCCTCCCCATTGCCCCACCCACTAAGTCCTTCCCCTAGGAATCCTGGAGCACTCAGTGAGGAGGGGCAGGGCCATACCCGTGTGGACGGTCTTGTGGCTGGCGAGGTTGCCCTTGTAGCGGAAGGAGGCCTGGCAGCGGTCACACTTGTAGGGTTTGTCGCTGTGGGTCTGCAGCGTGTGCCTCTTGAGCGAGGCCTCCTCAGAGAAGCGGCAGTCACACTCATTGCAGAAGAAGGCCCCGTTCTCTGTCAGAGGCGGCGGGAGGGACACCACATCAGCKCGAGGAAGGGAAATGGGCTCTACGCCTCCCTCCTCTGGGGCCACCCAGTGCCAAACTGAACCCCAGTCCACCTGCCAACACTCAMGGGAGCCCAGAGCAAAGGACCTGTGGGATTTTATTTGCGCAGGCATTAAGAGCCTCAGGCATGGAGGAGAGAAAGGAGACAGACTGAATCTTAAATCAGTCGGTACTCATAGGGCCTAATCCAGTTGGAGGAAGCCTGGGCAAAGCTTTTCCTTCTCCCAAGTGAACTTGCTTTTCTGATCAGGTCATAGTTTTATTTATATTCACACACAGAAGCCCTGGGGCAAGACCCCTTCACCTCTCAGAGCCTCTCTCTGTGTCTCTATCTCCAAAGTCAGGATAATAAATCCCTGTGCTGTCTGCTTCACATAAGTGTATTATATAACCCAAAATAAACACAGAGCATTGCAGGGATATGAGATGTAGGTCAAATTCAATTTTACTTTGAGATTACTGAAGGAGGAATCAATGATGTAGACTTCATGGTCATCTGGCACCTATCTGAACTTCATGTCTCCAAGATACTTCTGTGAGATTGGGAGACCAAAGGTAACTATGGAAGTGGAAACAGAGGCCCAGAGAGAAGGAGTAGAAGTGCAGAGCAAGGCAAACAGCCAGGGGACGGGAGGGGAYAGTTCCTGCTCTCCCTTTGACTAAAGATCTGTGATCCTGTGCCAAACTTGTCAGTGTAAGCAACTGATTTTTTTTTCCTTTTGTTACAACGACTTGAAAATGGCATGTCRTGGTGATTTAACCCTGATTAGGTATTATTGAGTCATAATAGAGTAGCCAGATCTGGGTGTAGAGTTAGACCTTTATATCTAGTAAAAAACTGGGGATGCCAATTGTAGACTACCCAGAAATGTGAATTTAATAATTCACTTCAATCAACTTAATTCAACTACATTTACTGATAGCTCCTCCATGCTAGGAACCTGCTAAAACCTGAAGAGTATGCAGGAATGAATACCATCAGATACTTCTCCTGAGAGAATCTCCACCCTGTCAGGGGGAGCCAGGGCAACACAGTGGTTTAGGCATAGAGAAAGCTCTGGAAATTATAGCCAGCCCTGAAAGCTACACTTGCAGGAATGAAGCCAAAAAGATGGCTTGCTTAGGCTCTATTACCCCATATTAACTCTGATACCCCATCCCTTGCTTCAGCCAGCCCAGTTCCCTGAAAGGTAAAGAATGGGTTGATCTGCTGGTGATTTTATGCCAATGGATTTCTAATCAGGAACTGCTCCCAATCAGAGAGAATAGTACAAATAAAATGGAAACACAAAGCCCATGGGGGAGGAGGGAGGGAAGGGAACTCACCACAGCTGGAATCYGAGTACTCGGACTGGGTCTCTCCAGTCTCCTCAGGGAACGAAGGCCCACTAGTGTGCAGGCACATCTCTGCATGCTGCGGGGACTGAGAGCCACAGGATGTGCACTTGGGGGGGTGCATGTAGAGCGGCGAGTGGCTCTCACTGCTGCTACGGGGTGAACCTGTCAGAGACCTGTGGGCAGAATAAAGACAGCCTCAGCACCAGGGGCAGGATAGAACCTTCTGCTTGGCCTCAATGCCATCTTCACTCTGTGCTTAGGCAAACAGAGAGAAGAGCTGCCCTATGCTGGCTCTGGGGCCTCAGAGTCCTCCTCAAGTCTGCCTCCAACAGCAACTACAGGAGAGCACAGGACAGGGTCAAACCAAGCCCAAACCCCACTCCTGGCCCAGTTTCTTCCTCTCGGTACTACAGCCCACAGACTCTCTCAATCTATGGGAAATGTGAGGGTCCCTGCCACATCAAGACCATCGGAAGTACCTGTGGAATTTGTGGGGTGTTCTTCTATAGAAGGGAATGTTATCTCTCACTAATTCTGCACTTCTAAGAGTCTTAGCATTTCAGGCAAAAAAACAAAACAAAACAAAAYAAAACAAAACCCCAAAAACATGGTTCCTGTACCCACCAGAAGAAATGACCCCAGAACCTGTTCAGGTAATCCCTGATCTCAGACCCAGACCGCCTCTGAAATCACCTGTTGACAATGTTATTGAGCCGGCTGGCTTGTGGGATGGTGGAGTCCTCCCCACTGGCACTGAGCTTGGTTGGAGACTGGAGGTCAAGGTTCTCAGGCTCCATGGGTGGCTGGCAGGCAGAGGGGGCAGTGTAGGCTCGTGGGGAGAGGCGGCCCAGCTCAGCCTGCTCAGGCCCCTCAGGCTTGGTATTCTGGTTGAGGCTGTTGAGCACGATGAACTTGTACTTCTTCCAGTTGCAGGCTTTGGGGTCAGTGGGGCTCTTGGCTGGAGGGGAGCCAGAGGCCTGAAGGATGCAGGCATTCTTGCTACTRCAGGACTCCGTGGGGGAGTTGGGCTGGCAGTCGGATTTCTGAGGGCTTTGTGGACTCACCAGACCCTTCCGGTTCAGGGGTGCGTTAGGGGGCTCGAAATGCAGGGCAATCTCATCCTCCGAAGAGGGTCTTTCTTCTTCTTTGCTGGCCTTGTCACAGGGGAAGTATGGGGCATTCCGGGCTGAGGGGGCAGCAGGCTTGGGGCCCTCAGCCACACTGTAGTGCATGTCACCTCGTGCCTCTTCTGGGACAGCCTCCTTGGGTGAGTAGATGTTGCTGTGGCACATACTGGGGGACACCTCCATGGCATGCCGGGTGTACTCACTGGGCACTGGCCTGGCACTATCRCAGGGGAGGCCCCGCTCCTTGGGAAAAGGATTGGCCATAGGCATCCGGGAATCTCGTAGCTCCTCGTCAGAGAAGAGGAAGCTGCTGACCGGGAGGTGGCTATACATGGGATAAGAGGCTGGTGGTGTGGATAGGCCACTGTAAAGGCTGGGGGCAAAGGCTCTGCTTTCACATCCAGGGGTATTCCTTAGCGGTAGGTTGTTCTCTACCACCTCACGACCCCGATAGGCCATGATGTCTTGRGGCATCAACATCCGGCTGTTCAAGAACTCTTCACGAGGAGGCTTGATGGGAGGAACCATCTCTGCTTCACTGGGGGAGAAAAAAGAGAAAAGACACCTTCCAGTGATACTGTTATATAACCCGTCTGTGCTTGGATAGGCTAGACATAGGGGAGGTGACTTTGGAGTAAGGAAACACAGTAACAAGGCAGTTACGACAGAAGTCCAGTAATACAGGCTACAGTTGGGGAAACTAAGGCACAAAGAAGGGAGGTGAGTTACCCACATTCTGTGCCTGGTAAGACTTAAACCTGTAAATTTAAGACACATATGTAAGGATGTCTATGAATCTATAACTCTTCTGACATCATAGAATTTATGGCTTATAGAAAGCTTTCAAAAACCTTATCTTGTTTTTACCCATGTAAAAGCCTGCAAGGAAGTAAAGGCAGGGATTTTACACACTTGGAAACAAGGAGGGAAGAATTTATACAGTGCTAGTACTACACTTTCAGAGGGTTATAGACAAACTAGTTTTCTATTGAAGAAAGGGCCTGCGTCATATGCTGGAAGAATTTGTAGGGAAGTTTATAATGGAGAGCAGGCAGCAAATGCCAACACAAGAAGCTCTGGCTCTGAGCAACCAGACKTGGTTTGCAAACCCAGCTGTGCCACTTAGCAGCTATATGACCTACAGCAAGCTACTAAACCATTATGAGCACAAGGCCTGACCTGTAGAAAGGGCTTATAAATGACAGTATTGATGATCTTGCCACCATTATCACCCACAGGAGACAAAGAACTCTGGCTGCAAATACTTGAAAGAATGTGGGTGAAAAAGTAGGCCAGCTCAACATGATCACAATTAACAGAGCTAGAACCAGTGCATGAAGGATAAAGGAACCAGAATCAACTGGCCATAAAGAGGAGCTTTCTGAGTATCCAAGGTAGACTCTGTGGCTCTGGAAACACTGAGATCCTGGTTCTTCAAAGTGATCAAACCCAGGCTGCAAATCCTTCTTTGGAGTTAGGATGCAATCACCCTAGAGTGGCTAGATCATATGGTTCTGAAGAAGTGAAGCCCTGACTCTGTTCCATTTTGCAAAGCTGATCATCTCCGGGTCCTTACCATGCAGTGAGGACCATGTCTTACCATTCCTTGGGTAAAGGACTCAACCTAGTGAACTCAATTTAATTCAATAAGTGTCCTCCCTGCCAGGCATGGTGGCATATTCCTGTAATCCCAGYGACTCAGGAGGCTGAGGTAAGAGGATCACAAGTTCAAAGCCAGCCTCAGCAAATTAATGAGGCTCTAAGCAAATTAGCAAGTCCCTGTCTCAAAAAATAAAAATGGCTGGGGATGTGGCTCAGTGGCTAAGTGCTCCTGGGTTCAATCCCCAGTACAAAAAAAGAAAAAGAAGAAAAGTGTCCTCCCTAATAGGGGTAGGATGACATCAGTAAAGTAGTCCCTATGAACTTGAGCAACCCACAGTCTGGCAGGGAACAAAAGCACTTATGTAAACTGTTGTAATAGATATCTAAAGGAGAACTAAAAATCATATGCAAATGTTAAAAGAGAACAAAGGTCTAAAGGACCAGATTGTTTCAGGTCACAGAGAAAGAGCTGAGAGAGAATGAGTGGTAATCAGAGAAACTTCCTTGGAGGAGCTAGCATCCGAGCTTAGTTGTGCAGGATGAGTAGGAGGAAAAGGCATACTACGTGACTGGAAGAAAACAAGAGGCCATAATGCACAGGTCTGATCTGGACAGCTGCAAGGAGTCAAGTTTACCTGGGGTGCAAGAGTTAAGAAGGGCACAAGAAGTGTGCAACAATAGTGGAAATGCAGGTTGCGGCAAATTATGGAGGACAGTTTCTTCCTGTATGCATAAATTATCAAGGGTTTATGATCAGAAACCATCCCTTCTGCCCTCCAAGATGGCCTACCTGGCTTTGATAAACTTCCGGCAAGTGTCCACAACGTGCTCCATCTGCAGGTACATAGCTGTGGCCATCACAGCCATGATGTTGCCTTCCCGAAGGTTGAGCCGAGATGTGTACATAAAGTCCAAAAGGATGCAGAACCCCTCAGGGTTGATCTCAGGATCCAGATTGATCACGCTAAGGTTGCATTTCAGCTGGTCTGTGAAGATGCTGTAGAAAAGGCCACTGGAAAACAAACAAATGTCCCACTATAGTAGACACATGGAGTCCCCATTCCTTTACAGTAGCACTAATGCTCAGATTCTCTTCCCAGAGCAGAGCTCCAGAACTCTCATGGCAATCAATAACAACTTCCACGTACGGAAAGCTTACCAATGCCAGAGAGTCTGTAAGCATTTTACATACATTATCCTGTGTTCCTCATAACCCCCTCTACCTTTATAATTTGGGGACTAAGATCAAAGAAGTTAAGTATATTCTCAAAGTCACAGAACCTGTTTTCCTTTCAGTCTTAACTGCAAGGATTACCAGGGTTAAATTTAGCACTCATTTGCAGTAACTATTCTTAGCCTATATCCTTGGGATAAGAATTTCCCCTCTTGTTTCATTGCATTACTTTTTTTTTAAGAGATTGTTTTATTTTTCTTTTTAGAAGCAACTTAGATATGGGTGACAAATAAATACAAATATGGCTATACACTACTGTTTTTCTCAGCCCACAGATTATCAAAAAAATCAATTATTTCTACAAGGTTCAAATCAAARCTCAAGCATTTACTACAGGTGCCATGGTTTCTAGTGGAAGAAAGAATACTCATTTAAAAATTAGAATTATAAGCTGTCATCTCAATTTTACTGGGTGGGGTGCTAGAAGTGAGCTAGACTTTCACCAATAATACCCATGCAATGTTGACTAAGATACTTCTCTGAACATTGGTTTCCTTACCTGCAAAGTAGAGGAAACACTAAGATCAAGGTAAGCATGAAAATGTTAAGGGTACTGAATAATGCCTGGCATGTGGTAAGCACTCATTAAGCATTAACTAATATTTTTATATCTTTGTAAACTCTGCTCCCTACACTATTTTTTTTTAAAAAAGAGTAGATATTGGATAAGTTCTCTAGTACCAGGAGAGATCCCTGAATCTATAAAATTTCATCTATTTTTGCCTTGCTCTTATCATTTATAAGATGGAGATATAGTGCTATCCATACAACACATACTGGAAGATCTAGGGAGATTATTTAATATAACATTGCTCTGAAAATTTGAAGCACTTGACAAATATGAGGAATTAGCTGGCTCATTCTAGCTCTTCCTCTACTCTGAATACCCATGGAAATAGGGTTTTAGAATAAAATAAAAACCGTTATAGCATAAAAGAGCAAAAGATTTTTGAATTAACTTGCTTAAAYAACTTAAAGACTCTCTTCTGCTTTTCATTTGTTCACTCATCAACTGAAGTTATTCTCCCTGTTCACCCCAAACATATCCTTTCTTGTGGTAGCACATGAGTTCTTCCCCCATCATGTACAAAGAACAGGAACTCTTTTCTAAAAGTGTATTCATTCATGTGCTTTCTGGGAGTCCTCAACAGCAGACCATGTGCTGAGATCTGGAGACAAGTAAGATGTCATCCCAGACCCCACAAGAAGCCTTCGTGTTCCACATCTCTGGCTGCCAGCACCCTCTTATTTATCCATCCTTCCCCTCCAGAACCCTCACCTGCAGGCCATGAGGACTGTCTTATGGGCTCTAAACTGTTCACGGCTCACCACAATGACAACATCAGTCAAAATGTCACGGCTCCTGAGGCGATTCAGGTTGAGAAGAACGTCACTAGCATGGCGTGTGAACTGGATACAACTGTCAGCCGGGGAGGCCATCTTGTCTTCACCTGGAAAAAAGAAGCCAATCTCCTGTTTCCTGCTTACCATGAGTACCAGAACAGGTCACTTAACCTGCTGAGGTAGGGAATGCAAATCTGGTCCCCAGGGTTTCATCTTTGAACAATTAATTGCCCACCTCTGGGTATTATTCTTCATAGCTGATAATCTTTATCCAATAAGTTGAGATAGAAAAATCTTTAGTGAAAAGGAAATGACTATTTGTTGAACGTTTATCCCACATACCAAATTCTCTGCCAACCACTGTGAGTATGTTGTCATGGAGAGAAGCCATATTTTGAGGGTTATCACACCAGCTTTGTCTTTTGCTAGCTCTGTGACTTGGAGCAGATTGTTAACTGTCTCCAGTCTTTGGCTCTCCAAAATGGGAATATTAATCTTAAAAATTTGGGCTAATGTACCTAGACCATAGTATGTTCTCAAAAACTACAGCTATTTTCATCAGTATCTCATTACATTATTCCATCTCTCTCCTCTCTTAGGCTTTGGAGTACTAGCACATTTCTGGGGCATAGTAAGTGGCTAAGTTAGTTTGAAGTAGAAAGGAGAGGGAATGACTGACCCATGCAACAGTGTGAAGACAGTGCCGTGGTAAGGGTTGARAGTAATACAGGCGAATTGGTTACCCTTTGCCTCATCAAAAGAAGGTGGCAAAGTTCACAGAATAGCTGCATTGGCAAAATTAAAAAGAAGCACTTTGTCCACAAAATTTTAAAGCACATAATTTGATTTACTTACCCAATGCCTTGCTTCACAGTCCAAAATTTTGCTTAAAAACTGCAAAGAAGAGAAGAGAGCAAACAGAAATTGATTTAATGAATGTAAGATTGTCCACTATAGTCTTATTTTAGGACACATGTAGTTAGTTTTGCTTTGGTAGTTGCAGCCTGCCAGCTGGTGCGGTTTTACCACAAGCTAGCAAACATATTCCACTTCTGCTCTTACAGAAACAACAGGCACCCAGAGCTATGCAATAATAATGCCTGTACCCTGAGTACTAGGAAAACAATCGTATACATTAATTACATATAAATGTAYGCATATATTTCCTGGCTCGAAGTAAAAAATTTATACCATCTAAAGGTCACTTGGATTTCTGGGAAAGAAAAATAAGAAAAGTAGTTCTTTTAATATTAATGATGATGATCCTTCAGGGGCTGGAAACATTGGACATTATTCAAAGCCTGCTAAAATATTATCTTTCAAGTCTTAAAATGATTCCACCAGCCTGATAGGGTCAATATCTTTATCCCTATTTCACTAGTGGCAAAACTGAGACTCGGCTTCAAGTGTCTTGCTCAAGACAAACATCCAGGCAGTATTTCCTGATTCTCTGGAACATTTAAGACTGAATACAAAGTCTATAGAATACAACCTGAGGTGACCTGTCTATGCATTCCTTGAGTATCTTTGCCTTCTTTTTCAGCTTCCCCTCTCTTGCCTCCCTGATTAAAGACCAGACAGTGTGGCATAGCTTCCAAGTTTGTGCTTCTCCCTGCTAGTGAAAGATTTAACTGTGGTGTGGCTGAGAACTGGCCAGGGAGCACAAAACCTTAGAGATTTAATGAAATATGTACTCTCTCCAAACCAGTTTCTCTCAAACAAAATCATTAAAAGAATAGGTGTAAGACTCTCATTTACCCTCAAATGTGAGCTGCCAAACAAAGCAATATTTCCCCCTTTTAAAAGATATAGTCCTTTAGAGTTATTTTCCAGGTTAAGGGGCCTGAGGCCAATGAGGTCATGTTGGGCCATGCAGATGGCTGATGGCCTGGCCCTAGGTCTTCTAGCTCAAATTCCTATTCCCTTTCCAAATCAGCCTACGTGCTGTAGAACATGCAAGACAGCACCCTGAGGTGGGTGAATCTCATTTTAAGTTCCTTCCCCCACACAAACACTTTGCCCCATTCCAGGCTGCTGAGTCTTACCAAATAAGCCCTCTAAAATGAGAGGTTTCCTTGAGTCTGTAACCAAACACTCTGACATTTCTCTGTGGTCCCAAGTGCCAATCACTCAATCTCATTGCTTCAAGGTTAGTGTGTGCATGTGAGTATGTGAGGAGTGAGGGAAGGAACTAGGGACAGGGAGAGAACAGAAAAAGACAAAAGAACCTGATTTCCTCCTTTCCCTATTTCAACTAAAGATGGGTAAAATTTGGTCCTAACCGGAGTTCAAGGATTGTCTCCTTTGAAAAAGAATGCTGCGGACACTTAAAGTTTATTTATAAACTTTCTCCTCTTCCCTCGTGGAAGAGATCCTCAAACACTTCTAGAATACCCAGGCTGTGCTTTAACCAGCCCAACCACCAGCTCACTTGTGGATTTCCAGTCCCAGACTTCTGGAACCACAGGAAGCCCAGATTTGCCATTTCACCAGGACAAGTGGCCATGACTCACTCCAGATTCAGATTGAAACAAACAAAACAGTTCCCCGGCCAGTGTCAGMCAAGTCTTGGGCTTTTCACCTTAAGCTATGCCTGATCTAGACAAAAACAAAGCACATGTCCCCTTCAAGTTCACTCCTTTGGGAGCTAACTTTGTCTTAAAAGATCCCACAACTAAGGAGGTGTGGGTTAAGGAGGATGTGTACAACACTGCTCTCCCTCTGGACGCTGCACACGTGGAAGTATCACTGATATTAGTTTTTTTTTTTTTTTTTTTTAAACTTGGTCCTTTCCCATCCATTATTTTATCTTATAACAGCACTGACATATTGTGGAAGACATTATCGCTCCCCACCACTCAGCCAGGTATGAACTTTGCCTAGGATCTCAAAGCCAACCTCTAACAAAGTCCTGGACAAACCTCCTCTACTAGTTCCAGCCATACCAAGGCCACCCACAAGATTCAATCCACAAAAAACAACCAATAGCAGGATCATCAAAGAGAAACTTAACAACTGTAGCGGCCCATACCTGGATCGCCAACACCCAAACTCCCCACCCAATCCAGGCTGCAGTAACCACCAAGGAAGATCTAAACGTTGTTTAATCCACCCCCACACCTTTTGCCCACTTTGCTGCTTTCCTTGTGTATATTCACTCTGGCATCTTGAGAAGGCAGATTCTCTAAAGGAGTTTCCCATGAGAGAAAAAAATGGGGTGAGGGGTGGAGAGAAGGCAGCAGAAAGGAGAGGGTGAGAGACCGAAGAGGAGCAAAGCGACAAGCAAGAAGCGAGATGAGGTTAAGAGAGAGCAAATGAGCCAATACGAAAGACCCCATCCTTTTCCTGCCTCCTCCACTGGGCTGGCACCAGACAGCCCCATTTGCTCGCTYAAGCACACCAGCACAAACAGGAGTCCTGCGCGCCGGGGCAAGCCTGCGCAGATTCGCCCACCCCCATCACACCGTACCTGTCTTCCAGGGACCGCCCAGCCCCGGGCGATACGCTGGCACCGCTGCCCATCCGCCTCAAACCCCGAAGGCGCGGCGGAGGCCAGATGGTATGACTGCGGCGGCCCTTAATTTCGTTACATTCAAATAAGTTTTCGGTAGCTAACATTGTGTATGCCTTTTTTTTTTTTTTCCTGTTACTCCGCCAAGGCAGGGGGCAGTGAGGGGAATGGCACAGCCCTCTCATTCCCGGAACGTAGTCGATCTCAGCTCTGCGGATTTCACAGAACACTCTCTCCCTATCGCCGTCTCCAATGAGAAGTAACTTTCCAGGAAGCTGCTGGCCCCCGACGGCCAGCAGGATCGCTGCCTGCACGGAGCGGACTGCGGAGGATTCACCCGGAGGGGGTGCCGCAGGGGAAGGCTCGCGGGGAATAGGGCACACTTTCCCCTAAATCCCTTTCCGGCGCGGGTTCCAGGGCTCTGAATGCACCTAGCCCAACCCTTCCCCCACAATTTAAAAATGGGGAAAGTCGACAAGTTAGTAGCAGTATAAACCAGGAGTTTGGATCCAATCAGAGGCTCAGGAGTTTGGATCCAATCATGCCTTTGGGTTGCTCAATTCTGGCCTTTGCCTGGTAGGTCGTTGGGTACACCCCCCCCCACTTTTTTTTTTTTTTTGCTTGCTTCCCTCTCACGCTCTGTTAAAGGGGATGGTTAGATGAGATGTCAAGGTAAAACAGATTTTGAGTCCCTACAGCTGACAGTCTCTCTGCAGTCTGTCCGACCCAGCCGAGTTGGAGGAAAGCTAAACCGAAAGCCTATGCCACCTACGTTAGCAAGAAAGGGAACCCAGCTCGGCTCGGTTTCCGCTCAGTCTATAGAACAGGAGCCACCAGGCTTAACCTAGCCAGGTTTCGGGATTTCGGAATCCTATTTCCTTGAAACCGTAGAGACGGGTTAGGATTCTGCAGAGGCCCGGGCGCAGACGCCAGCGCGCGCACTGGCGCGCTCCAAAGTTGCCTCGCCTTCGCAGGAATTAAAATCCCAGGGCTCCATCTCCTAATTGGTCTCGGTAGTCGGCTTCTGAAGGGGCTTTCAGGACAGTAGTAGAGGACGCTAAAGTCAGCTTTAGAGGCCTCAGTCCAGATCTAAAACTAGCTAGTGTCGTCACACGCCGCCGCAAAATCTTTCTGCGGCGGAGGCGGGGTCAGGGTCGGTCCTCAAAGACAGGGCCTTTTTGACATTAAACTCCTACTTTATGACTTTCTCGCCCTTTTGCCGGGTGGGATAAAGGTGATGTAGAAGGCTGGGATTTGTGGGATAAGGGTGAGAATCTGGGGAGTAAAATTAAGTAAATGTACTTATTGGAAATTAGGAGTCGCGTGGTTCCGGGAGCTCAAACCTAATCATGTTTTTACCGCTGCCTAACACTAGAGAGAGCTCTCCATCAAGGTTTGAAACCGACAAGCCCCTTCTCGCCCCGCCCCTCCTTCCCATTGACCTAGTTTGGCCAGAGAGATTTGGAAAACGCCTTCATCCCTTCCCCCTGCTCTCTATTCGGGCCGGCGGTTGGATTATTGGTAATCTAATAACTCCAATAATTCGCTGAAAACTCCATAGGGGAATTTGAAAGTGAAAATCACTGTTTAGGGACAGGGACAAGGAATTTTAATAAATCTGGAGCTGTCGCAGTGAAACTCCCACCAGGGCTCCTGCTGGAACGCTCCCTTTCCCAGCGGAGTCTATCTAAAGAGCTGTTGTTCAGGTCTTGTCACCCTGGTCTGGAATTAGGTGTTAGGGTCAAAACGTGGTATCTTCCCCGCTCCCCACCCCCACCCCCAACGGGTGGGGCACTCTTCATGCTCTTGGAGGGGGTTGGAGGGGGTTGGAGGGGCAGGAGCGGGAGGGTGGAGGAGGTGACAGTAGATAAAAAGCAAGTTTGATAGCATAGTGGCCTCTGCAGCTGCTTTGGGTATCTAAGGTGTTCGGGGACATTATGTCCTTTCATTTCTATCACGTTTCCTGCCAACAGCGTTCTTGCAAGCCTGCAAGCTTCTAGGAAATGCAATAAAATAGAGGGATGTGTTTTATCATCAAGATCTAAAGAAGAGCTGCTGAAGGGACGCTTCCAAAGCGCCCGGCTCCAGACAGCYTTCCAGAAGGCCCCACAGACAATGCCAGCAAACATGTCCAGGGGCAGAGATGTCCCAGCGATCCTGGCGGGACTGGGCTCGGCCTTTGCATAGAGGCTGGCGGGGGAGGAGAGAGGCATGATCTCCCCAAGCAAACAATGCCTTTTAAAATTTGATCTGGACAAAAGTCAGCCAAGGTCTTTATTCACGTTAATGAAGATGGAAGGCACTAACTGTCCTTGGAAAGCGATGAGTCAAACTTGACCGCCCTTCAAACACGTCCCCAGATTGGTTTCCAACCCGAACAGAGGCGCGTTTCTCCGACACAGCCTCCGACCGCTCCCACAGTGGGAAAGGCTGAAGTTGATTCAGGCGGGCCTGGGCTGGGGAGACCGCTGCGCCTCACCCCGGCAGCCGCTAGAGGCCGCCAGCACGCGAATGCGCACGGGCCATTTTAAGAGCTTTGAGAAAACTTTACTGAATAGATGCTGGGGCACAAATTCTAGGATTATGCTTTGTTTATCTATGCCCCCTCCTCATAAACGTGCACACACTTGAAATTTATAGACAGGATGCTTTGCAAAGGATATAAGGATTGGAAAAAGGGATTTCTGGGTCCAGATGTGAGCCTCGAGAGCCACCTCTGCAACTCTGCAGACTAGACCTTGGCCACCCCCGCCCCAGGCCATGAATTACTACCACCACCCCCAGCTTTAAGACAGCGGGCTCTTCGGCACTACTGCAGGCCTTTTTATATCTGTTTTTGAAAACCTTAGGCTATGCTTTATAAATAAATTTCCCCAGGACTTCTGGGAAACGTTTCCAATGTGTGCTGTCTGCTAGGGTGACCCAAGAAGTTAGTCATGGTTCTGACAGCTGTTCCTGTCCTTCAGGTACTTTAAAGGAGCTGAGATAAATTCGTCTTTGACTTTAAGTTAAGCTCTGAGATTCAGAAGCTTCCAATCTGGTCCTAGTTCTAGTTTGGTCACTAACTATACTAACGTGTCCCCTTGTCAAGCCTGTTTTCTCAACTGCCAATAAATAAATAAGAAAAAAAAAAAGAATTAAGCCCTAAATCTCCTGAACTTTGCCATGCCATCTTTCTAATACCGACTTTTTCCCCAGGGAAGGGGCCATAGCCACAGGTAGATGATGTCCTCAAAGAGTTATTGTTTCTCTTAGTTGAGATAGAAGCTGATCGCTGAGCGACTATGGACAGAAAGAGCAGCCGGGGCATTTCCAATGTTTTGTCTTCTCAAAAGTCAGGAGGTTGGATGCTATCCTCATTGGAGACTGCCCTCCCGGTCATTCCTAGTATCTAGTCAGGATACTGGGAGACCCAAAGATAAACTGGTCAGCCCCCAGCCCAAGGYGGGGGACCTTGACCACCATCTACCACTAGGTGGCAGACTCAGTCCATCCGAGAATCTCCGTGCTGTACAACCTTCCACGCCCGAAACTCCGACTCCTTTTTATCCCTGTCTGTTAGGGCTGGGGGGTGTGGTTATTTCCAAAAACAAAACTGGTAAACATTTAATTTACTGGTGTAATTCCATTCTTCTCGATGCTCACGCCCCTAGCAATCACAATATGTTATCTGGATAGGCTTTTGTGTACTATACGTTGATCCCCCCCCCCCCAAAAAAAATAGCTGAATTACTAAGAAGGGAAAGAAAGGGTGCTCTCATCTTCAAAAAGCAGAACGGCTCTTGCCACACACKGTCGGCCAGCAAAGAGAGTCGAGAATAAACTCATTCATGATCGTCACGGAGGAAAGGGGCTCTGGAGACCAAAGACCAGGGTCAACCAGACTTACTGCTCCTGGCTAAACAGGAGGGGGGGCCCCGAATATGGTCTTTTGGAAGGGCTGTGATCTCGGAGTGGGAGGCGGGGAGGGTTGGAAGGAGCGGTTCTTGGCTTCCACTGGGGCGAAGAGAAACCAGTCAGCCCCGCCACTACGCTCAGACCGCTGCGGTGGCGTTCCCACTTGTTGCGCAGTGCAGGAAACCGGCACGCGCCACACTACTCTGACTCGCAGGAGGCTGCTAACCAGCCTACCATTGCTGCATAGAATCCACAAACCTCTCCCCACCACCATCACCACACACCCCATATACCACCGGTCAAACTACAGCTCTTTCAGCCACCTCGATATTTTACACCAAAAACATCCCTCCTTGTGTCAAAGTCAGACAGGCAGCAAAATTCAGGTCCCCTGAGAAGTCAAGTTCAAAGGCAAAAGGGAGCTACCTCCACCCGGGGAACTAGCCTACTTAAGTCCAACCAGGCACACACACAACCACGCTGCGCCTCCCCCCCTCCCTACACCACCACCCCCCACCAGAATTCTTCCCCTGAATTATTTGAATTACGTTTCTCTTTTTATGCCACCATCCTAGCTGGAAAGCAAGGTCGTTCTTCTCTATTGACGAGGTCAACTGCAAAGTGCTTCCTTTAAAAGTTAGTTTTTATCTGCGCTAATTTTTTTAATCTCTCGGGGAGGGGGACGCCTCATTGTCATTTCACAATATTTAAAAAAATGTTTGACTTTTGCCATAGTTTTACCCACCGAGGGGTGGCGCTGCCGCACCACCTCCTCTGAAACAAGTTTTTCACAACAAAGTGGGTTTTGAGAGTGGCTACCAGGCAGGGGATAGAGGGAAGGAAGGATTTTGACATCTAGTCATGGCTACCATTTACTCAACCCATGACTGGAACTCTTCAAGAGCTCAGCAATTGACAGCTCAAGAGTTGAGTTCCATTCCTGTCCACTAAAAACAGAATAACAGTCTCTTAAAGAAAGCATCGGAGTAAAACCCCTCAAAACTGAGGACAGCAAAAGCACAAATGGAGAATTCCCACTTTTCTGGCTTGTCTCCTCCTTCAAGTCACCTAGTTTTTATGAACAKCATATAGCCTTATTGTCACTATCAACAGACCCTTAAAATCAACCAGTGTTCCAGCATGCAGTATTGGAAATGCTTCCAAATAGG